AGTGCTGAGAATTCTTAAAGCCCCAGGTCTCAGAGCAGCCTCCTCCAGGCTACCTTTCAGGCTGGGACTCCAGGTAGGGACCAGCTGGGCTTTGTTGACCAAGGTGACCATTCCTCTCCTCTCCCCACTGACAGACTGGAGCCCTCCCCCTATCCAGGAGCTGAGAAGAGCTACATATAGTGACCTGCTGTGTGGACTGGCATCACCCAGGAAGCACTCAGAAAACATGTGCTGATGGGTGGATGGGCGGTGGATGCCTGCAGGAGAGCATTAGGGAAGGCCACAGGGGCCAGGCACTAGTGTTACTGAGCACTTCACCTTCACCTTACAGTGGAGGGCCCCCACGACCCTGGACAGCATGCCTGTCCTCCACTTTAGAGAAGGATCGGTACARGGACACCCGTGTCCACCACCCCCATGTGCAGGCTCCGGGTCCCTAGCCTRTTTTGTCCACCAGTTCCCCTATACGCTTAGCCTAGAGCCTGGCCTGTAACAGGATTCCCCTCAGTCCAGGCTCACCATAGCAACAAATGCTCAGCTCTGGTCACACTGCAGGAAGAACAGGACCCCTAGCTGGGAGCAGTCAGGAACCCTTGTCATCCCAGAGGCTGAGGCAGGAGGATGGCAAGTTCAAAGTCAGCCTGGGCAACTTAGTGAGACCCCTTCTCAAAATTTAAAAAGAAATAATAAAAAGGGCTGGAGATGATGTGGCTGAGTGTGGTAAAGTGTCCCTGAGTTCAAAATACAAAATAAAGATGGAGAGAGCAGGAGGAGGAAGGAGAGGAGGACTTCTTCTTCAAGAAGGAGATGGAAAAGAAAAGAAAGAACAGGACCCCGGGTTARACCAACAGGTGTTGGGGTCACGGCTGCAAGACCTGGAGCCTGCATTGATCCATCTGTATAAGGGCAACTGGGGTCAGTGAGGTGCTTCCTGAGCAAACACCTAGACTGGGGATTCTTCAAACACTCAGTTACAGCCTCCAAGGAGGCCTGGGTCCCCAGAGCCCACAGAGCAGCAGGGAATGCATCCTACCTTCCAGCCCTCYGTGGAGTAGCTCCTGCTCTATTAACATTCTAAAGCTAAGGAAATCCACCCTCCAGTCTTCTTCCAGTTCTTCTAGAAGGAACACATGGACATCCTCTCTGCTCATTGGCTAACAATAATAACAGTTCCCCATACGTTGTGGGATTTCACTTTCTGCAAAATGTTTTCTTGTCTATTCATACCTCCAGGATTGATGAAAACAATCCTTTGAGGTTGCCCTGGCCGGCTCCAGAGTCTTCATCATACAGATGAGAAAAAAGCAGCTTGGAGAGGCCAAGTGACCTGCCCATGGCCAAACAGAAAATAGTAAAACCAGGTTTCCAAGCCAGGTCTTCCGGCTCAAGCTCTCTGATTCTTCCATCCACACCCAGTGGGTTCCTAGCCTGTCCTCGCCACATGGGACATGGTAACTGTTAGTGGTCATGGGTGACCTCAGACCACTGGGGMTTTGAAGGTCAAACACAGTTGACGTGTCTATTCTGCAGTGATAGTTCCATCTCTGGATTCTGGAACTTTGGCAGTTAATAACCTTCTAGACTTCCGTAGCTAGAAGGGACTCAAGGTCAAGCAGCTCAACTGTAGCCACCACATAAATCTCCCCAGGAACRTTCCTCAGGAAATCACAACCACCAACGTTTTGGACCACTTACAAGCCGCTTTCCACAAACTCTATCTATATCCAAGCATGTGAGGTCATCTAGCCTCTTTTTGAATAATTCAAGGGACAGCACRCTTAGGACCTCCTCTGTAGAAAGTCCTTCTAGCTTTTCTTAGGGAGAGAGTTATCCCATTAACRCTTCCCTGGATGGGCCCCCGGACAGGTTCTCCCTAAATGGGAAATCCAGGAGATCTACAGTCATCTGATAGCCCTTCCCCCTGCTGACAGTCCCCAGTGTCCCCTCAGCAGCTGGGAGGTGAAACTGAACCGGGCCACCTGCTGGACTCAGGGGCACTCCCCTCAACCTGAACAGTCAGTCTGCAACAGTCACACTGGGTCTGAGTCTTTTCCCTCATTATCTAGGCTGCACCTCAGTAGCAAAGCGACCCAAAGAGGTAAGAAAAACCTCAGTCTAGCCTGTTCCCACTCCCAGCCCTGGCTGCCCTGAGACCTGGCTCTGGGACCTGCAGCCAGTCCCTCCCCTGCTCTGGCCACAGTTCACCCACCATCACCACAACAAAACACCCTGTCATAAGTCCTATATTTACGGCCACATGCACGGTGTCCAGGGTCCCCCTGCCTCCGAGAGGCTGGCAGCTGAGGTTAACAAACCTCACAGAAGTGATGCGCGGTCCCACCGCACACGGCAAGAATCGGCACTRTCAGGTATCACTCACCGCTCTCTCCAATCCTCCTCCAACTCAACAAGCTTTTACCCCCCTATCCTTAGCCTAGAATGTTCTTACGACAGCTCCTCAGTCTACTGGTTCCATGTCATCCTTCAGGTCTTGGCCTCCCTGAGCCCCAGCCCCCACCCTCACGTGCTCCTGGCACCCTTACACTTYCCACACATTCCCGTGACCCACAATGTGCTTTAGAGTATGACTACTATTGTACCGGGTCTCCCCAAGGTTCCTGGAAAGCAGACACTTCGGCCTGTTCACAGTGGTATCCCCACCCTCCATCTGTGTTAGTACACAGGCCGAGGACCCTGGTTAGCTGGTGAATGAATGAATGAATGAATGAAAGGCCGGAGAAAGCCCAGCCTGCTCCAGGTGGGGAGGAGGATCTATGCTGCACCCACAGAATCCACAAGAGACCCAGAGAAGTACACATGGAAACCTGTCCAAAATTGCTTGGGAATAGACATGATCTCAGCTACTGCCATCTGAGATTTACTATACACCAGGCTCTCTAATGGTGTTTGCACACATTATCTCATTTAATCTTTTAAGAGTGAAATGTGGGGCTGGGGTCCTGGCTTAGTGGTAGTGCACTTGCCTAGCATACGTGAGGGACTGGGTTCAACTCTCAGCACCACATACAAATAAATAAAAAAGGTCCATYAACAACTAAAAAATATTTTTTAAAAAGAGCAAAAGTTTGGGCTGGGGATGTGGCTCAAGCKGTAGCGTGCTCGCCTGGCATGCGTGTGGCCCGGGTTCGATCCTCAGCACCACATACAAAGATGTTGTGTCCGCCGAGAACTAAAAAATAAATGTKAAAAAGAGCAAAAGGTGTAATTATCCTATTTTTACATATAAAAAAAAAACTGAATTCCAGAGACATTAAATAACTTCCAAGATCACAGTCAGGAAGCTATAGACCCCAGACCCAACAGCACCTGAGGCTTGTGCATGAAGCCTGAAACTCAGTTYTAATTTCTAAATTAAAACTCAGGTGGAAACTAAGGTGCAGGCCTGTCCCAAGAACTGCCATGKCCCCAGCTGGGCCTGGGTGGACAGGAGCAGGTTCATGAGACTAGAAGCAAAGCACTGTGAGCCCTCCTCCTCTGCAAATGAGCAGTGGGGGGTGAGGGGCTCAGGATCCAGCTTTGGGGCAGGCAGTGTGGACAGCAGCCCAAAGCCTCCAGAGGACAAGCGCAAAAGGTCCTCTTTCGGCCTGTCATTGTAGTCTCCCTCCTCCTCCTCCCTCCACTTGCCTGCTCCTTCCCCCTGGCTTCAGCACACAATAAGGCCTGACGGAACCCCTGATTGTCACTGGGGTCTTAGGGAAGACCCACCCTCCCATTTAACAGTGAAGGGCTAGGTCGTCCTGCCTCAGGCAGACCCTGTCCTATTCCACAAGAGTTCACCAAACACTGCCTCACAAGTCCTGAGGAAACGGGGGAGCAAGAGACACAGCTGGGCAAGACCCCAACACTCTAATGAGTGAGAAACCCCTTTAGAAGAACCACGAGGCAAAGTTAAGTGCCACAGGGCAGATATAACTCAGCAGAGTGCTGTTAACTCCGTGGCTCTTGGCCAGGGATACTCTGGGTGCTGTGCCAGGCCATCAACAGACAAGTGCAAGCAACATTTCAGTCTCTTCCAAACCCATGCCCAGTCTGTAAAGCCCATGACCAGTCCGGCCTCCCAGGCCAAGGTCAACACCCCAGAGCCAGGCTGCTCCTTGAGCAGCCATGGAACTAGGCGACAGGCAGAGGGAGCCTGGCCTGCATCCAGGAGGTACTCATGTCCACTGAAAGGGCCAAGGCAAAGCCCGCTCTCCCCAAAAAGCTCTCAGGTCCCCACATGCCCAGAGGGAGAGTCCCTTTCTGGCAGCAGTTCCCCCCCTCCCACTGGGAGTATGGGAAGGATATGGGCAATGGCCATGACTGGCTGGGCCAGGGCATTGTATACCAGGCCTGTTGCCAGAAGGCAGAAGACAATATCCCGGGATCTAGGGAGCTGCCTCTGAACCGGTTCTCCCACAATATCATCCTCCCAGGCTGTGGGACCGTTAGACTGGGCGGAAGTGGACTCCAGCCAAGGGGATGTTCCCAGATGTCATGCTTTCAAAGTGGACCCGCCCTAAAAGGCAGGCGGGGACAGGCCTGTGCCTGGGGAAGCCCTGGGTAAAGACTCAGGATTCTGTTCCAGCCTGTCCTTGGCAAGCAATGGCCACAGGTTTCCCCGGAGGCGGAGCACACTAATGGCCCCAGAAAGGAGAGTCACAGAAGGCCTGCAGGTCTGGGGCAGGTTTTGAGCCGCTGAAAGCARAGGTCCAGCCCCTCACTGACTACACACCCCACCACAGAGCACCCTTCAGAGCAATTTTCTCAAGGCCCCTGTCCCCAAATCAGGGTCCTTTGATCAGTGTCCTACCCAAGTTTCTCCTCCGAAGAGGGCTTCCCAAATAAAGTGAGAAGAGGGAATGTGAGGGTCCCCTAGATCGATCTYAGAGTGGTCCCCAGAGGGTTTGGGCCCCTTTCCCCAGCTTGTTCAGTGGGAAAGAGGCCCGCGGGGCAGTGTCACACGCGTAAGGCTGCCTCCCTTTCCCCCTGGGCGCCCCCACCTTGAGATAGTCGTTCTCGGAGCGCAGCTCCTCCAGCTCGCGCACGAAGCCGCCGGGCCCGCAGTCCAGCATCTCCTCSGTGAGGTCAGAGAAGGCGAGCGAGGCACTGAGAGGCAAACGGCTGCTGCCCACCGACGACGCGGCCATCGATGGCTCATCGGGGGAAGCGGGCGGCCGAGGAGGCTGGTGCGCGGACGGGGCGGGCTGAGGCTGCTGACCGGTGCGGGCCCCCGCCGGCCCCCCGGCCGCCGACTCGGCGTCGCTGCTCAGGGCCAGCTCCAGGCCCAGCAGGCGCGCCTCCTCCGACGCGCAGTCGGACACCTCGGAGCTGCTGTCGGTGAGGCTGGGCGGCGGAGGCGGAGGTCGCTGCCCGGCACCCGGGCGCGGGCGGCCCTTGGCTCGGACTCCGGTGCGAACCCCGGCCACACGCGTCCCCGCGCCTCGTGCCCCTGGCGCCACTGCGCGCCCCTTCTTGTCTGGCCGAGCTGAGGACGCGGCGCTACAGGCTGCAGCGGCGCCCGGGCCTGGGCCGCGGCGGCCCTTGGCTAACGACCAGCCGGCCACGTCCTTGGGCCGGGCCGGCGACGGCGCGCGGTGGCTCTTCTTCCTCTCCAAGACCGGCGCGGGCGGGGGAACGCAGCCCCGCGCCGGGGGCTCGCCCGCCGGCGCCTCCATCGCGGCCTCACTCGGCCTCAGCGAGCGGCGCGCATGGCCGGGGCCCGCCCGGCCTCGGCGTCCCTGGGGAGAGTCCCGGTGCAGCTCCGGCCGCTCGAGGTGTGGATCCTCTCGGCCCACCACAGCTTGGGGGCTGCGCTCCGGACCCGACCCCCTCCGCACAGTCTCTCCACTGCTCTGAGCTTTGAGAGAGCGGCCCGATCGCCTCCAGGCGCCACGGCTCCGGCTCCGGCTCCGCCCGGCGCCCGCCCCCTCGGCCTCGCCGCGCCCCCGGAGCGCGCCGGGGCCTCGGCCGCCTGCACGCCGATCGCTGCCTCGGGCTCCGAGTCCGGCTGCGGCCAGGACTCCGGCTCCGCCCGGCGCGGCCCGCCCCCCGCGCAGCCCCGCCAGCTCCGCGCCCCGCCGCCTCGGCTCGGGGGCGCGCGGCTCCGCGAACAAAAGGCGGACGCGGCGGGAGCGGCGGGGAGGGACGCAGGCTGGAAACGAGGGAGGAATCTGCGAGGCAACAGCGACCCCCTCGAGGGTCAGGCGGACCCGGGCAGCCGCGGCCCCGGCTCCCTCCTCCTCCGCTCTGCCGCCGCCCCCTCCCCTGCGGGCCAAGGGACCGCACCCCGGGGAAGCACCCCGCTGCCCAGTGTCCTGGATCGGGCAGCGTGAGCGGCAGGAGGGGGGATTCCCCGGCCGAGGTCCGCCGGACCTCAGCACACTGGAGCCAGCATCCATGCACACCCGGCGCCTCGCCCCTCGCCCCTCGCCTTGTGCTGAGCGTGCGCGAACTCCGCCCCCTTTAACCTTGCCAAACTACACCAACGATCCCATCGTACAGATGCGTAAACTGAAGCCTTTGGGGGACTAGCGATCCGCTCACGGTCAACGGCRGAGCCGGGAAGGACTCAAACCTCACGCCTCCAAGACGTGCTCGGGCTCCTTCTGCCTCAGTTTCCCTCCCGCTGCCCTAAGGACTGTGCAGSGCTGGTGCACGCCCACTCTGCACACCTTGAGCGCCTGCGGTCCTAGGCATTGTCCCCTCTTCCCTACCTCGGTTTCAGACTCTGTACAGCAAAAATGGAAATGACACGGTTACTGGGTGTCACACCAGTGGATGCTTTAGGAGTAGGTTTTGGCCCCGGTGGGAGCTGGAATGGGCTGGAGACGGTCTGATTCCTCCACCACCACCCCCCAAAAAAAAAACAAACAAACAAAAAAAAAACAGGAGCAGCTTCGGAAGGCCCTGCCTGGAGCCCCGGCTCTCGGCTCTCGTGGTTGTGATTTCTTTCCCTCTGGGACTGTCTCCCGGGCTCCTCTCCTCTCCGCTTTGTGGATTTTCCCTGAGTCCATTACAACTTCCTCACCCCTGCCCGGCGCCTTGCTGCCACTGCCCACCCTAAAGCAYCGCAAGGCAGAGCCAGATTAAGTTTGTCTGTTGGCCCAGGGCGGTCCCTCACCCTCAGGGTGGGCTTCCTTGCCCCTGGAGGGCAGAGCTGTGTTAACCCCTCTGCAGCCTCCTCTTCCTCCCGTTATTTCCTCCTTTTCCATGCTTTTCTTTTCTTTCCCCTTTTCCTCCTCCTGCTCCTTTTTCATCTTCCTCTTCTTCCTCCACCTTTTTCCCTCCCCTGACACACGACACAGCTAGCACCAACTCCACTTCCGTGTCTCTTCCGTGAATACATTCCCCACGAATACACTTCTGTAGAGGCCCCTCTCACCTAAGGCATGACTTGATCGGGACCCAGGTGTGTGAACGCCCCTGCACCCTCAGACCCTGCGGGTGCCCCCATGGAGAGAGAAGGGCTATTCAACAGGTTCTTGGCAAATACTGCTTCAGGGACATGCCCATCGGCTCCTACACTCACACACACACACACACACACACACACACACACACACAAGAACACGCCCCTCCTCCCCAGCGCCCTCTGCTGAGCGTGTGCGGACTCCTTTCCCTTTCACTTTGCAAAGGGAGGCCAAGGATCCCATCCCATTGTACAGATGCATAAACTGAAACCTAGCAGGAACATGTGATCCATTCATGGTAAACGGCAAGCCAGGACACAACCCACACCTCACCCACTCAACCCTGTTAGCACAGGGAAGTCACTGAAGACACTGGTGGGCTTGCCAGTGCCTGGACTCATGGAACACACAGTATAGAGGGAGATGGACCAAAAATCATAGAGCAAGACTACTAAGCAGTGAAGAGGTACCCTTGGGCTAGTGACCCAAGGTAGGCCTTCCTACTTCTGGGCCTCAGAGTCCCCATGGGGCCTAGTCTAATGTTCCAGATGACTGAGTTCTTCCAGCTCTGACACCCCTGGTCTTGTAGACTGGCCCTGGTGTGGGACATAGAGATGCTACGTAGCCCTTGGAAATTGTTGCCTTTCTCTCTGCTTCCCTTGCTCCTACATGGAACTTGGAGGTATTACCTGGTGTGAATCCACACAGGGGACATACCACCATATCAGATCAGGCTCAGCCACCCCGACACACTCTTGGCCACACAGGTGATCCTGAAACTAGAGTGGCCTGCACCTCYCCTCCTGGATAGGATCTGAGTCCTGACTCTTATCACTTATCTTTTCTGGGTCCCAACACCCCTGGCTGAGCAAAGAACTGAGGATCCTTCCTGCACTGAGATTTTTTTTTAGATTTGAGGAGATAAGACTGCTGCAGCTCTAGGGGAGCACCTCTACCACTCACCCTGAGAATCCAGCCCCAAGTGGGAAGGAATCCCAGGCCTCATGGAGTAGCCACATGAAGGGGCTCCAGCCAGCAACTCCAACTCTGGTCCCCACTGACCACCAGACATATTCGAGCCTGAAGGTACAGGTGATCCAGCCCCTCCCTCAGCCCCCACCTTGCAGCCACCCCAGCTAACACAGAACCTACCCAAACAGCAAAGCAAGTTTTGTGACACAGCATTGGGAAACTAGAATGCATGACCAAGGTCATACAGCTTGGAAGTGGCAGGACTGGGGTTGATTTGAATGCAGGACTACCCAATTCCAGAGCTTGCTGGATCACACAATTGGCTGCAAACTGTCCAGCTCAGCATCAGCACCCAGTGTGTGTTATATAAAGAAGGAATGAAGAGGGGCTGAGGTTGTGGCTCAGAGGTGGAGTGCTTGCCTAGCAGGTGAGGCACCACATATATTTTTTTTAAAGGTTAAATTCTTGGGCCTGGGATTGTGGCTCAGCGGTAGAGCGCTCGCCTAGCACGGCGTGACCCAGGTTCGATCCTCAGCACCACATAAAAAATAAAGGCATTGTGTTGTGTCCATCTACACCTAAAAAATAAATATTTAAATAAATAAATAAATATTTAAATTCTTAAAAAGAAGAGGAATGAAGGGGCGGGATGTATCTCAGTGATAAAATGCCATGGTATTCAAATCCCCAGTACAAAAAAAAAAGAGGGAATGAAGGAGGGAAAGAGGAAGTACTAGGGATTGAAACAGCAAACTATGTTACTGACATTCATGGATGTGTCAAAATGAACCTCCAATGTCCTACATAGCGATAATGCACTAATAAAAAAGAAGGAATGATGTATTAAATGATTGTAAGGATTATATAGCAGATTGTAAGCAAGGAAGGCGATGATTACCCAAGTGGAAAAATGGTTTTATTTCTCCCATTCAACCTGTTATGTTGACCAACATGATAGAAACCAAATAGGGGCTCATTCCTGTGGTTTTTGTAACTAAAGTAAAAGTTGTTTCTTATGCAAATCATGAAAGAAACAAGCTCCTGACTGAAGGATTGTAGGGAAACCTGCTTAAAATAGAGTAATTGGGGGAGCCTCTGGTCTTTAAACTTGGTTATTCAAGGAGCCAGGGAAAGAGGGAAGAGCAGGAGTAAAGGCCTGAAGGAGGAACAGGTGGGATAGATGTTGGAGGAAGTGAGAAGGTCAATACAGAGAACCCATTAGGTAAGGGAGAAGATAGAGGTGGGGTGGGGAGCAGGAATGAGGGCAAACCATGGGCAGAGGATTTATTCTTGACGCAGTGACAAGTCATTAGAGATGCAAGCCAGAGAGTAATACAGTCTAATTTAGGTTTTAAAATAGATTGCTTTGCTGCTGGCAAGAATGGATGAGAAGATGGGTCAAGGGGCTACTGAAGCTGACAGTGGCTTGGATGAGACCGGAAGCAGTGGAGAGGGAAGAAAGGTTTTGGCTTTTGTTTTGTTTTGCTTTTGCAGTACCAGGGATACAACTCAGGAGCATTCTATCACTGAGCTACATCCCTGGCCCCTTTCATTTTTAATTTTTTTTAATATTTATTTTTTAGTTTTAGATGGACACAATATCTTTATTTTACATTTACGTGGTGCTGAGGATCGGACCCAGTGCCTYGTGCGTGCTAGGCGACCACTCTACCACTGAGCCACAACCCCGCCCTCATTTTTAATTTTGAAATGGGGTCTCGCTAAATCGCTGAGACTGGCCTCAAAATTGTGGTACTCTGGGCTGGGGCTGGGGCTCAGGGATAGAGCRCTTGCCTAGCATGTGTGAGGCACTGGGTTCGATCCTTAGCACTACATAAAAAGAAATAAATAAAATGATTTTTTTTTAAATTGTGATCTTCCTGCTTCAGTCTCCCAAATTTCTGGGATTAYAGGCAAAGATGGGTTCTTAAGATGTGTTCTGGAGCTTTGAAGAGTCAGACACCCTTGGCTGGGAGTGAGGRCTCAGAGAAAAAAAGTCAAGTCCCACTCCCTGGTTTCTGGCTTCAGCTAGGGAGCTAGGTGGCCCTATTGACTATGTCAGGAAAGACAGGCTTGGAGGTGGTCAGGGACAAGAGTACTACATTAGGAGGGGGAAATGAAGAGTTCTTTTTGGTCATGTTCAGTTTGAAGTGTCTATGGAGGCATCCAATGGAAAACTCAAGCAAGGGACATAGGAGCATAGAGCCCCGCCTAGCAGTTAGGTCTGCGGCCATGAGAGTCACTGACATCTAGGTAACAGTCAAATCTGTGAGTCTCGGTGAGGTCACTGGGGGAGAGGGTCTGTAGGATGAAAATCTGGTCCTAGAATCAGGGAGGTAGGAATTCCTGGTTCTAGAAAGTGGGTCAAAGAGGAGAAACCAGCCTCAAAAGACAGGGGAGCCGAAGCCAAGGAGCACAGAAGCAAGGAAGGGGCTGCCAGGACCTTGAAAAGAGCCAGGGTTTGGGCACAGGAGCCACAGGGAGTAGACTGAAGAGTGAACAGGAGGTCGGGGCAGAGTGTAGGGAGAGGGCCGGTGGGGCCAGCAAGGAGAAAGAAGAGGGACAGGAGAGATGAGCTAGGTCTGCAGAAGAAGACACATCCAGGGCTGGGACTGGCTTTGGAAAGCCGCAGGGACCTGTCTTCCATTGCTCTGGAGGGAAGACAGAAGACACAGGTAAGATGCAGGTGGAGGTGGAGGGTGGACATTCAGGCAACAGGAATGGAGTGGCTAGCTGAGGGCAGCAGGGAGTGCRAGCCTGTGAGAATGACCTCAGAGAGTGGAAATCTGACCTCTGGGGACACATGAGGGAGGATGTCAGGCCATCATGTCAGGCACCTGTTTAACACTTGAAGTGAAACCAGCCCCAGTCACCCCAGGGAACAAGGGGCGTAGCAGCTTCTCATTTTCTCTTGGTCTTTTCAAGTTTCTTTTGTGTGGCTGAAATGGTCCCGCAGGTGCCGTTCTATATCTTTCTTTCTTTCTTTCTTTCTTTCTTTTTTCCCTTTTTTCTTACCAGGAGAGGGGAAACATTTCCCATTCACACCTAAACTCTCTGCCAATGTCACTGAGGCGCTGAGTGGATGCTCCATGCCTGGGTCACTCACCTTTCTCCCTGTAATGGGACACTCCAGCTGTTTCCTGGAGATGACTACGCAGTTTGAGTGGGAGGTGGCACGCAGTCTGTGGAGGAGGAAGGAGGCCGGCTGTAGGGCAGAGTGGGGGTGGTAGGGCAGAGTGGGAGTGGCAGGCGCCCTGGCACCCGATGCCCACTACTTCCCCTTTCTGGGGGCTGTTACCTGACAGGTGTGTTGCTGCCAGGTCACMCGCTGAATTTTCCTGGATTTGCAGACAAAGAATGGGAGAGCTCGGCAACCCTCCCTGACTTCTCAGAGTGTCCAATGGTCTGGCGTGGAGCATGGGGGAAACGGGGATAAGAGGGATACCCAGGCAGGGGCGGCAGGAAGTGCCCGGCATGTGACCCTGGGCCGTTGACAGCTTAAACACACATTGCAACAGCCATGTTTGAAGTGGCAACAGGACTCTTCACTTGGCTGTTTTTCCCCAAATAGAAGTCCTTTGGCATCCCCCGATCCCTGGAGGAAGTATTGTACCCCCAGGACACCTGGTCTTAGGCAGAGTATGAGGGACCCAAGTCCTCTCCACCAAGGCCAGAGGGACAGGGTCTCTTTTAGATGGGTAAAGAGGGGGCCGCCTGTGAGACATGTGTTCACCCACCCAACAGAGGCTGATCAGGGCCACCGCTTGGGGGCCAGCTGAAGCCCTTCTGGCTCTGACATTTATGACTGAACAACACAACAGTCACCAAGGTCCTATTRGGAGCCAGGGATAGAGAATGCCCACCGACAGAGTGTCCTCTGGGCCACACTGGGCTGTGCACGACCTCCCTGTCTGTACCCAGGGCCAATGAAGAAAGTCCTTCACCATCTGAGGGGGAGCCCACAGGGCAAAGCCTGGCCCTGGGCTTCCCCACAGCAGGGTGCTTACAGAGAGCGCCCCGCGTTGCTCTTTCCCGGAGCATTTGCATATCACAGATTTTACCCTTAAGGAAAGGGTCCTCAGTAGTGGGCATCAGACACCAGGTGGCCTCTGGGAGCTCCTGGTAAGAGTCAAGGAGCCCAGTATCCCCCACCTTTGAGATCTTGGGGACAGAGCCGGGGCAGAGGCCTGCTGAGGTTTTGTTTGTGTGTGTTTGTGGATCTGAGTTCCTGACGCAGGATAATTACCAACAGGTTGTCCCAGCTGGAACCGGAGCTGGCGCAGGGCCAGGGCCTGCCACCTGGGTGAATATAAGAGCCGCCTGGGGCAGAGGTGCCAGCCACCTGCTGGGCGACAGGAGTTCGGAGCCAAAACTGCTGCTGTCAGGTGGGCAGGGTCGGGTGATGATGTGGCCARTTCTCCTCAGGATCAAGGATGGACACTAAGGAAACTGTCCACCAGAAAGCCAGAGGCAACTAGGTGTCCAGGGCCTGGCAGGGTGAGTCCCTGCCTCCAGGGTTCTCACCTTTCCCTCCCCACGTCGCTTCTCACCTTGTGAGGGACTGAGGGACTGAGTCCCAGAGGCCCCCGAGTGGGAAGCTGGCCTCTTGTTGGGGAGTCGGGCCTGGATTTCTAGAGGTAATGTGGGGTTGGTAGTAAGCACTGCGATTACCCAGCACACTGGGGTTATCTTATGGAATCAAGGACGTGAGGATGGAGGCCTGGCTAAGGATCTTAATTCAGGCATTGCCTTTATTTCTTCTTCTTTTTTTTTTTTTTATTTTATTGTTGTTGATGGACCTTTATTTATTTACATGTGGTGCTGAGAATCGAACCCAGTGCCTCACACATGCTAGGCAAGCRCTCGACCACTGAGCCACAACCTCAGCCCCACTTTAATTTATTCTTACAACAGTCTCCCGAGGTAGCTATTAGTGTTTCACAGAAATGCAGACCGAAGCACAGAGATGTTAAAYAGCTTGCCCAAGGTCACACAGCCAAGTAAGTGTTTAATATTGGAACCTTGACACCGCAGCCATGCCCCCAACTTCCCACTTTCTTTCTGGTGCTAGGGATCAAACTCAGGGCCTTGTACACTACGAGAGTGTTCTACCACTGAGCTACACCCCTAGCTCAAAAAATTGTTTTTAAAGGACCTGCTCCTTTGCCCTGGGTGCACCCTTCCAGCTCCTGCTGGAGTGCATTCATCAGCTTTGRCAGGGGCCTGAATTGCAGGCTGCCGTCCTGCCAGCGCCTCTGAAGTGACGAGGTCCAAACGTTAGATATTCATGCAGGGAAACTTGGGCCTAGGGGGTTAAATGGGCTTCTCATGGTCAAGCAGGGAGTCAGAGGCCCTGGGCCCCCAGCCTGGGCTTCAGGCATCCCTGGAAGARCCGTGGTTCCTAGGCCAGGCTGTCAGAAGGGCGAGGAGGAGGAAGGGAATCACAGCTAGAATCTGTTCCATGTGGCTGATGTATCGATGCTGTCAGTGCGGCCTGGAGTGCCCAGTTGCTCACAGATCCACCCAGGGGACACCTGGGGGTGACAGGTGAGAGGAGGGAGCAAAGGGCAGCTGGGTGGCACGGAGCCAGCGAGGTGTGCCCAGGCGCCTCCCTCCTGTCTCGGGGCCTGTCATAGCACTTCCTCCCTGGACAGGGCTGGGGACTGGCTCCCGGCGCAGGGCTGCGACAGAAGAATGCAAGGTCTCCGCTGGCGTTACACGAGGCTGGTAAGGGTCCAGCTCGGGCTGTGGGTGAGGTTGGGATGGAGTGAGATCTCAGCCAGGGAGGGCCTGGGCTGGGGTTGGAGGCGGGTGGGTGCTTTGTTCCCCTCTCAAGTCCCTCCTCTGCTGTCTAGGGTTTAGAGCAGGGCCTGTGGCCCGTGTTCCCTGCCCCGTGGTCCTCAGATGGAGCTGTGTCCAGAGGCCCCCACACAGTGAGGGGCTCTTCAGCCTGGGGACAGGGGCAAGCAAGAGTCCTGGGCATTTCTTTTTTAAAAAAAAWWTTTTTAGTTGTAGATGGACGCAAAACTTTATTTATTTTTATGTGGTGCTGAGGATCGAACTCACACGTGCGAGGCAGGTGCTCTATCCACTGGACATTTCTTATTCTCTAAGGGGTCTCTCCTTCCTAAAAGCCTGAAATCATTTTGTGTAGGTCTGCATGCACGCGCAAGTGTCCATGCATGTGGGGACACACACACACACACACACACACACATTTACACATCAAGTACCCTGGTACAGAGCGGAAGCTCAAGGGAGTGAATGATACACCAACACACACCCCACCCACACACCCACACCTTTACACACTCCCAGCTTGCCCTCAGAACACAGTGACATGTAACACGCCGTGTAACACACTCACCTACACTGGACACCTTCTCACACTGAGAAGCCAGAACAAAATTCACACGGAGAAACACATTTTATAACCACCCATAAACACTGTCTCACCTGTGACTACCCACATGGTTCCACTGGCTGACAGGGAGAAATTAGAAGCACATTCTTCGGATTCTGGATGAGATACAGAGAGCTCATGCATGGCGAGCACCCAGCACCGCCCAGCCCAGCATGAGCCGTGCCAGTGTCAGCCGTTGTCATTACCACTAGTGTTGTGTGGTCCTTAATTCAGGCACTAACACCCATGGCTGCATCTCACAGGATGGGCTGCCACCTGCCCTTCTCCCCTGCCCCACAYGGAACTCAAAAGCCAGGGTTCACTCTGGGTTCAGCGGAAACAGGTGGACAGGTGCAGGGCCACGGCTCCACTGGGCAGCACTGTGCCCTGGGGTGTGTGACCCTGCATATTCACTGGTGGCAGCCAGGGGGGAAGCAGGCTGGAGGCAGGGCAGAGTCCTGTCTGTCACGGGCACCTCCCGGCTCTCCTGGGCTGGGCTGCAGGGACCTGGGCAGGGGGTGGGCAGTCAGCCTGAGGCTTTTGGGCTGGGAAAACAGTGCAAGTTGGTCCCTCTTTGTCCCTCAACCCATTGGCGACTTTGTGTCTTCACAGCCCAGCCAGATGGAGGACACCATGTCTGGGGAGGAGGGTGAGGAGGAGGAAGAGGAAGAGGAGACAGCCCCAGCCCCAGCTCCTGCCCCTGCCCCTGAAGACCCCGTGGAGCCCCAGCTGACAGAAGCCAGCCAGGTTCTCGGTGCCTCGGAGATCAGGCAGGTTCGGACACTGCCCTCCCCAGGACTTCAGTCCTGGACCTCTTCCCACACCTGCCACTCCCAGGGACACTGGGTCACAGATCTCTGTCTCTAGCTCTCGGTGTCATCGTGGGTGAATMGAGTCTTCTCTCTGGGCTTCCCTTTCCTTTCTAGTAAAAACCCAGTAACGTTTCCAGCAGCCTCTGCACGGGGCTGAGAGGCTGAGAACTCAGGAAAAGACGTTAATTCCAAGATGGAATCAGTCTTGGGAACTGAAGCCAATCTGGGGTGTTGGTGGGACAGGAGATGGGGGACAGGGAGGAAGGATTCAGTATATCCCATCTATTCTCTGGCCTCTTGAGGACAAAGTGACCCAGGGGAGTGAAACCCTGCCTGGGTTTGGCTCCTGGCTCTGCCACTTACTCTCCTGTGGGTTTGGGGCTGGTGGCCCCACCTTGCTGAGGCTCAGTTTCCCTATCTATAAAATGGGAAGAAAAACTCCTGTCTCCAAGGGCTGTTGCCAAGAGGCACAAAGTTCCTGGAAACAGTGAGGCACCGCGCCCATCAGGGGTGCTGAGCCCAGTCCTCTGGGTCCTGAGGTTATGGTGGAAGGAGGACAGCGGGAGAGGACCCCCTCACTCACCTCCAGCCCTGCTCCCAGCTTAGCCTCCACCTCCCGGCACGAGTCACCGGCCACCCCTGGAGTCTCGTTTTCTGTACGTCGAGGGACGGCTTTAGTCTGCGGAGCCTGTACCGGCAGATGGAAGGCCACAGTGGGCCAGTGCTGCTGCTCCTGAGGGACCAGGATGGGCAGGTGAGTTGGGCTGGGGTTCCGGGGGACAGAGCCGGACATCAGTGGGTACAGCCCATGACAGCCTTAGGGACGAGAGGCAGCGGTGATAAACCAAGCCACCTCTAACAGACCCTGCTGATGGCGTGGAGGCCTACCCCGCTCAGAGCCAGCCCACGACACATGATCCTAAGCTCCTTCTACATCCAGACTAGATGGAATCACCCCAGAAAGGTCCCGGCCCTCTTGGAGCTAATAGTTTAAAGGGGGGAGGGCTCAGGCCTTAAGCAAATAATSATTTGACCATAAAACAAAACTGCATTGTTAGCCTCCAAGCACAAGAAACTATGGAGGGATTTTAAGCAGATGATCTACAGCTTAAATATCAGTATATTTTTTTTTAATGGACAGAATGCCTTTATTTTATTTGTTAATTTTTATGTGGTGCTGAGGATCAAACCCAGTACCTCACACGTGCTAGGCAAGTGCTCTGCCACTGAGCTACAGCCTCAGCCGGTTTTTTTTTTTTTTTTTTTTTGAGTTTCTTTCTTTTGGTGCGGGGACTTGAACTCATGACCTTGTGCATGCTAGGTAAGCATTCTACCCCTGAGCTATACCCCCAGCCTAAGGCCATTGCTTGTTTGGAAATCACCCCTAACTGGTGGGAGAAGGATGARTTGGAGGAGCTGAGAAGGGAAGCAGGTCCCAAGAGGCAGCTGACTCCTGCATTTTATAAAAGGAGGCTTGAGGTAGCTATGCCTGAYGTCCATGTGGTCTTTCCAATGGTGGATTTCCAAGAAGGCTCTCCATATCAAAGGACGGGTGGAACTGGTAGCTCATTTCAAATGATGATCTCCTGTGGAAGGAACATACTAGAGCTGGGAGAGATGTCAGGGATTCCAGAGGATGTACCCCTCCACTTGGGCCAGAGTGCCTGTCTCCCAATGCTGATGGAAGGAATCCCTACCTGAGGGCCAGGAAGCTCACTCTCTTCAGAAGCAGCCCCTTATGTGAAGAAACCATTGACTATGAGGAAGTTCCTCCTAATATTAAGCCCCCAGCCCAGCTGTTCTCAGTGATCCTACCTCTGCCACCCAGCGCCATTTATAATGATGACAATCCACAGCTCACCTACCTATCCCACCAGAGGATGATGGCTAAGTCAATGCAAATCCCTCCACAGAGTGAATGAGGTTTCACTCCGTGTAGTGAAATACCTGGCAATCAAGAAACATCATGTGAAGCAGACCTATTAAGCGTGTTAAGTTTTTATGTTTTTTTTTAAGCATGATACTAAAGGGCATTCTTGGGACAACTGGAAAAAATGGAATAGGGAGTAGCTACTAGATGACATTATGGGATTATTGTTAATTCTCTTAGGGGGGATGATCGTACTGTGGTTATGTAAGAGAAAGTCTCCATTCATAGGAGATGAACTATTTAGTGTGGTCATAGTATCTGCTGCTTATTTTCAAACGGGCCAGAGAAATATATAAATGAAGAGGGAGAGGGAGGTGGGGGGGGAGAGAGAGACAAATATAGCAAACAACTTTRTGATTTTGAGTGTAGTGGGGGGATCTGTACTGTGTTTTGAAGTTTTTTTTTATGTTTGAAGTTGTTAAAGAAAAGTGAGGATAACAACTTTATGGRTTTTCAACTTGAAATGATGCAAGGGCACACTCCTGTAGTCTCAGCTTCTCAGGAGGCTGAGGCAGGAGGATCAGCAATTTAGCAAGATCCTAAGCAACTTGATGACACCCTGTCTCAAAATAAAAAATAAAAAGGGCTGGGGATGTAGCCGGTGGTAAAGCACCCCTGGTTCAATCCCAGTGTAAGAAGGGCGGGGGAATAGAAGTGAGGGGAGCAGTGCCCCAAACCAGCCCATTATATGGAACCTTGCTTTCGTGTGGAAGTGTGCACACTGGCATTAACCTGAGACCAGAGGAAACACACCAAAAATATCATGAAAAATTACCCTGGGGAGCCTGAAGGGGATGTGGGAGGGTCCTGCTTTGTCTTTGCTTGTCCGTGGCCTCCGGGGTTTCTGGAAGTACTTGTGTAAAGTAAGTGGGTTTGAGAAGCGGCGGGAGGGCGCTGACACCGAGAGGCCCCACGGGCTCTCCCGGGGATTGGCAGGGAAGGGGTGCAGGTAGAGACCAGGGGGGCTCCCCTGGGGCCTGGAGGACAAGCCTGCCTCACCGAGTCTGCAGGACGGGGTGGCCAGAGGACCCCAACTCCCTCCCAGTGTCAGACCCCTGTCCTCTGCCTTCCAGATGTTTGGCGCCTTCTCCTCCTCAGCCCTYCGACTCAGCAAGGGCTTCTACGGCACAGGCGAGACATTCCTCTTCTCYTTCTCCCCACAGCTGAAGGTGAGGTCCTCATTTCCTATGGGGCGGGGGGCTCTATGGCAGGCCACAGTTCCCAGGGTCCCAGTGGCCCCCAGCTCCAACTCCCATGCTGGGCTGCTTGGTGTCCCTCTCCCCACCCAGGGGGACGCAGCAGGGCCACGAAGAGCAGAGCATCCCCTTGGCCTGTTCATCTTTAAAAAGAAAATGCTCTGTAGGTCTTGAGTGACCACTGACGGGCTGAGGGGAGGGGTGCCGCTCTCCAGGCACAAGCTGGAAAGGCAGCAGGGGCCCAAGGGTAGATGATGGTCCTGAGGTGTGGTGGCAGGAGGATGTGGCCAATGGCTTCTTGGGAAGCACAGGTGAGGTCCTCAGCTAAGAGTGAGGATGGAGGAGGGGCGTGAAGGAGAGGGAGGGAGTCACCCAGGATCCGCAGCGTGGGGAGGGGGCCCTAGAGGAGACTGTGGGACAGGACCGCCAGGCTGTGGCGGGTGGAGGTTTGGGCCTGTGAGTTTCAAGGCGGGACAACCCCTCAGCCGTGTCCAWCACCTCTGCCAGGCCTGGAGAAAGGTGGATGGGAGGGTCCTCCAGGATTGAGGTTTTGCCAAGTTGGTTGAGCCGAGGCAGGAAGGGAGCCAGGCATGGTGGCACACACCTGTAATCTGGGCAACTTGGGAGGCTGAGGCAGGAGGAGTGCAAGGTTGAGGCCAGCCTCAGCAACTTAGYGAGTCCCTGTCTCAAAATAAAATAAATAAACAGTGCTGGGGATGTAATTCAGTGGTAGAGCACTTGCCTGGCATAAGCAGAACTCTGGGGCATATCCCTTCTCCCTGCCCTCAAGGCCCCCAACACACACAGGCAGAGAGGGAAGAGCAGGTTGAAGAGCAGGTTGGGGCTGGGGTGTGGCTCAGTGGTAACGCCCTGAGTTCGATTCTCAGAATCACATACAAATAAATAAAAGGTCCACCAACAGCTATATATATATATATCTCCCAAATGCATCACAGAACCTAGGCTGGAAAGAGGCAAGGGAAGCCACCAGAAACTGAGGGATACTGGGACAAAATTCAAAATTGGCCTCAGAGGAGGACAGGTCTCCCTGAGGAGCAGGGAACAGTGTGTTGACCTGTTGGATATGGCATACAAGGGACATTGAGCTAGACGGTGGAGAAGTTCTCTGCCATCCCTGATGAGGACAAGTCCCCCGAGGTGACCACGGAAGAYAGTAGCTGAGAACCTTCTGGAGGTTAAGAGAAAAAGACTGTAGGCGGGAACAGGGACGGAAGTTCACCCGGGAATCAGGAAAGASGAGGGGATGGCGAGTGATGGGGGTGAAGAGACCCGTGACGACGGCCACAGGTGGCTGGTATCTCAGGTGGCACCATCTGCCAAGGAGCTGGGGCTCTTTCYTTATTTTTGTTTTTTGGAACCAGGGATTGGATCCGGGGTGCTTAGCCACTGAGCCACACCCCAGCCCTTTTTATTATTTTATTTAAAAAATAGTTTTAGTTGTAGATGGACACAATGACTGTTTATGTTTTTTTATGAGCAAGCCTCTACCACTGAGCCACATCCCCAGCCCCCTTTTATTTTTTCTTTAGAGACAGTAAGTTGCTGAGGCTGGAGTGTGATCCTCCTGCCTTAGCCTCCCGAGTCGCTATGATGGAGCTGAGGCTCTTGAAGGAGGGAGAAGCTGTCAGAAAGACCAGGTGATCTAAGGTGACAGACTCGAGCTCTTGCTTCCCGTCATGGGGTTTCTGAAGGACAATAATAATAGTCCCAAACATCTCCCATCCCAAACGTCTTCCATCCAACAATTTTCTGCCTCTGGGTCCCTTATTGAAGGAAGCCACCGAACTCTGCTTGGGTGGCAGGGAGCACCCGACTTTTAACATGAATCAACATGTCGGCTGCTGTGGGTCACCTTCCCGCCTCCACACACCAGCACCATCCTCACATCAGTCCCAAGAGGGCTGTGCCATTATCATCCCCATGCTATAGAGGAGGAAACTGAGGCAGAGAGAAGTTGAATGATGGGCCCCAGTTAACCCAGTTGCTGGAGGTGAGGACGGGACAGGAGTCTGAATGCAGCYGCAGCACAGCACGACCTCTCTGAACTGCAGAGGGTCCCCAGCTTAGGATRCTCCTGCGCTGGGGAAGGAAAGCTGAACACTAAACTGAGTAAGAAGGGCTCCGGAAGAAGCGCAGAGGCACCTGTGTCTGGTGGGGTGGGTGATCGGGGAGGCTTCCTGGAGGAGGAGCTTCTGGAGATGGATCTTGATAGACAAACTCAAGATGAGCAGGTGACTGAGCGGGTCAGAGGAGTTCTCGGAGCTGTGCCGGGAGCACATTCAGGCATCCATAGAGGCAGGGTGGAGCAGGGAGTATATGGCTGGGCACTGTCATCAAGAAATACTGATTCACATTTTCTTCTATGGGTGGAGAATTAGTTCCAGGGGCTTCGGTTTGCTCTGAGCTCTTCTAATACGTGCAGACTACCTTGCCAAAGGCTGTCTGTCTAGCCTCCACCAGCCAGAGCCTCCTCCAGTCTTCCTGGGAGACGGGCACCAGTTGCGCATGGTCAGGATGCTGGTCATCACCATTGCCCCTCCAGGGTCCACATACTAGAATTCTAGAACCTTCCTCCTACTGCAGGCCAACTCCTTGTCTACCTCTTGCTGGCTCCCTCTCTTCCTCCAACCCTCTTACTGTCAGGGATCAGTTCTGGGTTCTCAGCTCTTCTCTGCCAACCCTCATTTCCTGTGGTCTCATCCACCCTCACAGGTTTCCATGCCAACCACATGCTGATGACCTCYTCTCTGGACTCCAGACTCACACAGCCAACCGCTGCCCAGCACCTCTGCTTGGTTCTCCAACATGACATGTCAAGCTTAACCTGTCTGAAACTGAGCTCCTGTCTTTGCTCCATGAAATCTGCTCCTCTCCCTGTTTTCCCTCACCAGAGATAATGGTACCTCCATCTTCTCTGCCACTGTGACCAAAAAATCTTGGAGAGCTCCTAACAGTTAGCTGGAGTGATCCTTTTGAAAAGGAAGTCACAGCATGTTGCTTTTTGGCTTCATTTTTCACTTGGAGAAAAGCCAAAGTCTGTACAAAGACCAATGACCTGGCCTGTCTCTGATATTGTTTCTTACCATTTTCCTTCCCGTTACTTTGCTCCAACCACACTGGCCTGAACTGGCATTTGGACATAGGTCTACTCTGCCTCAGGGCCTTTGTACATGCTGTTCTGCCCAGAATGCCCTTCTCTTAGGTCTCCACATGGCTCCATCCCACAAGACTTTGTCTTAATGTTGCCATTTCAGTGACCACCCTGCCTAGGTTATTCAAAATTATCACCCCCCCATTCCCTGAAAACCTTTATTGCCCTTCTCATTTCTCTCCCTAGCATTTTCACCTTCTAGCATGCTATTTCTTACTTTTTTATTTGCTTCCTTCCACTAGAATGTGAGTCCTTTGAGGCAGAGATTTTAACCTACTATGTTCACCATTGTACCTAGTACTTAAACCGTGCCTAGTGCATAAGTGCTAAAAAAATTACTGAAATGAATGATGTTTTTCTTCAGGGGGACACTGTCTGCCTTCCCTGCCTATGGTTATGGAATCCCGTCTCTTAAAAAACTGGTTAATTCTTTACTGTCTTTGGTCTTCGGGCACTTCTGTGTCCTTCATGAATTCCCAATGCTTCATCCTTTGATTGCTATTCTAAGCAGCACCATGAACTTCATCTTAATTTTTTTCTGTAGCAATATTTATTTTATGGTTTCAAGTCTGGAGGTCATGTCTTTGAAGGAAGTTGAGGAAGTGTTCAATAGTTCTTTTAAATTTTTTTATTTTTGAATCTGGGGATTGAATCACAGGGGGTGTGGTGCTTAACCACTGAGCCACATCCCTGACCTTTTTATTTTTTAAGACAGGGTCTCACTAAGTTTCTTACAACCTTGCTAAGTTGCTGAGGCTGGCTTTGAACTTGTGATCCTCCTGCCTCAGCCTCCTGGGTGGCTGGATTACAGGCGTGTGTCACTGTGCTTGGCAACAGTTCTGTTTTCCTGTGGTTACTTGCTAATATTATCTCATTCCTTCTGAGCCAGGACTTATCTTTTAATTAGTCCTTTTTAGGTTTTGTTTTTACAACTAATTGCTGGCAATAATATACCTTTGTGGCCCTTTAGAAGTCCTTTTATTGCCCAATTTGACTCTTAAATAATGTACTTATTTAACAAATGAATTCAGCCACAGCACTCCACTGTGCCAGGGACCAAGCTGCCCTCTGGACCATTTCAGTGGGCGGATAAAGGCACACAGACAACGCTGAATGAGTGCTCTCCGAGGGTAAACGCCAAGGAGGACAAGACAGGGCTGGAGGAAGAACGGCCTTAATAGGGATGTCCAGGAACGTTTCTGGGATGACCCTTAGGCTGAAAGAGAAGAGGGTCCTAGTACACCTGGGGGAAGAGCCCTCTGGGCAGCAGGACGGTGAGCACAGAGGTCTAAGCAGGAATGAGCTTTGGATGTTCCAGGGACAGCAAGGCCAGAGTAGCTCACGTGCAGTCAACAGGGGGAGAAGAGATCAGAGAGAAAATCAGGGTGCAGGCAGCTGCGCCAGGGGCTCTAGTAAGGAGTCGGACTTCCCCCATTACAGATTCCAAATAGAACACTCAGGTCACAGTGTGGAGATGGGCTGGGGCAGGAGCTGGTGGGACAAAAACATTGGGAGGCTGTGGCCAGGGCACGGGGGAGGAGGCAAGTTGTTGGGGACAGTCAGGCTTGGTGTGACCTGAAGTGAGAGATGCATGTTCATGGTAGAATCAGTCCCTGCTCCACTTCTTTCCAGCTTTGGAAGCAGGAAGCCTCAGAGGTTTCTGTTCTATTCCTAGAGCGAAGGCGCTTCTAGGCTGTGGAAACTCAAACTACAGGGTGTGAGAGGTGAACAACAAGAAGAGAAATCTCAGGAGCCTGGGGCCCAGAGTTCCTGCAGCTTGGTTGGCCCTGGAGGCTTTATTCCCTCCACGACGCTGCCATCTAGTGGCTTGGAGTCAGACTGCACAACCAGGACTCACCAGTAACCCTGAGCTTTGTCACCCCAGGTCTTTAAGTGGACAGGAAGCAACTCTTTCTTTGTGAAAGGAGACTTGGATTCCCTGATGATGGGCAGTGGCAGGTGAGTGCCGCCATCCTCCGGAGTCTTGGGGTGGAGTCTGTGTTTGGACCCCTTCTCTCTCCATAACTGCAGGCTGTAACTGCTCCAGATGAAGTGGGGAGGCTGGGGGTTCACTTTCTCCTTCAGTCACTGACCACCCCCTGGGCCAACCTCTCAACCTCACGGAAGCCAAGGAGTAAGCAAGAAGATGCACAAACTCCCCCACCAGTTTATACATCTGAGTCCGAATTCATGTGCCTTTGGGTACAATGACAGGGTTGGATGAGGCTGGAGTCCAGAGATGGCAAGACTCAGATTTGCCAGTCAGCCCAGTGATCCTAGGGGACCTAACTTTAATTAGAGGAAGGCTACATCTGCCCTCCTCTAATAACCCGGGCTTCTGTATATGTCTGGAAGATGGAGAGAGTTAGGAAAAAGGAGGCTGGTCTCACTCTTGGTGTGACCTTCAAAAGCAGGCACATTAATGAGTTTTACCCTGAGGGCAGAGATGAAAGCATTGCTTGATTAGTACCAAATTCTTTTGCTTTCCCAGCTGCCTGAAAAGCCTCCTTTGAGAGGCAGCTTGGCACAAACACATCAGCCATTGCTGATTTGCAGTAATTCACTTCTTGGCTCCAGCCTAGGTTTTCTGTGAAATGTGGGGATCAGAATGTTCCAAGTGTCTGGGCTGTGGGGATGGCTGTACCACTGTATGTATTTATGAAAATCCTTGAATTGCCTTTAAAAGTGCTTTAAGCCCCACAGGGAACAACATGCTGAATCCCCCGAAAAGTCAGGATAAGTTGGTCTAAGGAACAATGAGGAGCCAACTGGGCAGCTGTGATGGCGTGGCTGAGGGCTGGCAGTGGTGGATTCTGAGGCCCGACATACAGGGCTGAGTCATGCCAACATCTTCTTCTTCTTTCCAGYGGCCAGTTTGGGCTATGGTTAGACGGAGACCTGTATCACGGGGGAAGCCACCCCTGCGCGACCTTCAACAATGAGGTGCTGGCCCGGCGCGAGCAGTTCTGCATCAAGGAGCTGGAGGCCTGGGTTCTGAGCTGATGCCCTGTGCCAGCAGCTTCCTGGGCCACAGGGACTCAGACCTGCTCATGGATGCTGTCCAGGCCTTCCTCACACGGGGCAGCCCCTTCTGAAACTAGGATGACATACTCATGTAGACTCTGGCTGTTGGACAGCCTCCTTATGGCTTGAGGACAGACAGGTAGGGGGGCAGACACTGTTCTGCATAAGTGATCTGAATATGTGAAAGACACACCTTACCCAAGAAGCAGAGTACCTCATGAAAATTACTGTTATAGGAATTCAACAGTGAATACATGTTTATTGTAGAAAACCCAGAAGACACAGAAAAAATTTTAAATTGCCAGGTGTGGTGGGACACAGCTACTTGAGAGGCTGAGGCAGGAGGTAAGCAAGTTCAAGGCCAGCCTAAGTAACTTAGCAAGATCCCATCTCAAAATAAAATAAATTATATATGAGGGGCTGGGAATGTGGCTCAGGCGGTAGCGCGCTCGCCTGGCGTGCGTGCGGCCCGGGTTCGATCCTCAGCACCACATGCAAACAAAGATGTTGTGTCCGCCGAGAACTAAGAAATAAATATTAAAAATTCTCTCTCTCTCTCTCTCTCTCTCCTCTCTCACTCTCTCTTTAAAAAAAAAATTATATATGTGTAATAAGAATTGTAGGGGCTGGGGCTCAGTGGTAGCGCTATTGCCTTGCATGTGTGAGGTACTGGGTTCGATCCTCAGCACCGCATGTAAATAAAAAAAAGTCTATCAACAACTAAAATATATATATATGTATATACATATATATATATACATATATATATACATATATACATATATATGAATTGTAATTAGAAAAAAACAAAGTACATGTATAAAGACATGAATTGGCATGAACATACTTTATATATAAAGATATGAAAAAATTGTGCTGTATATGTGTAATAAGAATTGTAATGCATTCTGCTGTTGTGTATTTAAAAAAAATAAAATCAATTAAAAAAAAAAAAGGATTGAGATTGGCTCAGCAGTACAGCACTTGCTGGAGGCCCTGGGTTCAACACCTGGACTGCAAAAATGATGAATGAATGAATGAATGAATGAATAAATAAATAAAACTGTCTAAAATGCAAACTCCCCAAAGAGTAATGTTTTCATGTATATCTTTCAAAACAATTTTCTATGGAGATACATGTATATATATTTTTTCTTACAAAAACAGCATTCTTGTCATGTATAACTAATTAGAACAAAACAAACAAACAAACAAACAGTATTCTCTTACATGGGTGGTGTTGTACCTTGTATGTTTTAAGAATTATTTTAAAGAACGCTGTCAAACCTCAGAAACCTGGGCTCAGCCCAAGGAACTAACAAAGACTCTAGCAGCAGTATTCCTTCTCTTGTCCCGTGCCTATTCTAGAACTCTGGGGGACCTGCATGCCACCAAGGTACAATGAAGATATGAAAGCAGCAAATGAACAGTATGCTTATTTGGGCAAAGATGCTGAACCTCTGTGGATAGAACTTGAAGGAGATGAGAAGAGAGAAAGGAGTGTTTTCTGGTGCAACAGGAGCTCTGCAAACTAAGAACACTCCTTAGTCCTCTCCTTCTCACACCAGGGCCTGCCTTCTGCTAGAGGGAAAGATGCTATTCCTTGCCCTTGCTGCACGAGGAGAGCTCCCTGCCAGGGACCTTGTTACTGCCATGCCTCTCACTGACCCCACGGTGTGGAAGGACTAAGCAACATCAGAGTCCTGCACGGCCCGCATTCATGTGCACAGCAGAGTCAGACTGGGCACACAACAGGGTAAGGAGAAAGTGGCTCAAGAGCACACATCCACACTGGAGACACATTCGTGAAGCTTTATTGCAGCCATTTCCCTCAACCAGCGGAAGGAACCAGTCGGTTCTATTCACAGTCTCAAGGTGACAATGTTCAGGAACTCTAGAGACTAAGCTGTAAAAATCCCTTTTTTATACAGAGTCAAGATGTTTCTTAAGAAAAATTTAGCCTTGTTAATGRCACATGGTTCTCATAATAAAAACACTTGCAAACAGCATAAAGTGCAGCTGCCTTACATGTAAGGAAAGAGGCAAAAACAACAACAAACAGATTCAAGTCGTTTCTCAGTCAGCACAATGATACAATATTAGGATTACAAAACTGCAGAGTAAACCACAATGATTTAAAAATAAAAGTGGCAGGAAAAATAAATCTTGGCACAAAAATATTACATTCTTGACAATGAGTCTGGGCACAGGAGCTGAGACCTCCAGCCGTTTCCCCTGCAGGTTTTACAGGCACCTCGGCTGAGCAGATCCAACCTGGAACCTCCCCTGTGCTTTCATGAGCCCATGTGTGAACTGTCCCCACCAGGGCACCGTGGTAGGGGTGATGCTGCCACTTTCCACTGTAACCAGGGGCTGTTCCATCCACATCAGGTGCAGGGCATTTGGAACAGTTGGGACCCTGGGCTGTCACCACTTTCCATCCCTCAGTAGAGAATCAAGGGTTGACTATCACTCCCAGGAGAACAGTGGAAAGTGACAGCACAGGTACTTCTGGCCTGTGGCCTGAGCTCCCCACTCACTCTGGCTGCCCACTGCCACCTTGTTCCATGCTGCCAGGGAGCATCAGTGCATAAGAATTCTCTCTGTTCACTGCCCACGTTGGCCCCAACCCCAGACTTTGTTCTTGGTGAACTTCTACACCCTGGGGGTAGGGGATCCCCTGGGCACAGGAGCACTGCCTGACCATGATGGTACCCTCTCTACTGCTGGGAACATCAAGTTACAAAGGGGAAGCTGGGACCCACTTGGTAGTCACCAACCTCAGGAAAGGCAGTCTAGTCTGCTCTGAAACCTGTAAAATGCCTGGAGGAAAATGCGAAAACAAAGTTCCAGGTAAGAATAGCTCCAAGGACAGTCCCTGTGACGACCTCTGAGTAGCTCAAAAGGCAGATGAGGAGACAGGCTAGAGGGAGGCCTCTCCAGGCTGGGCAGTGGTGAGGCCCTAGGAGATGGACGGTGAGAATTGAAAGAAAAACAAGCTGCTGGGTCTGAAGCCACAGCAGACTCCGGCGACCTGGCTGGAAGGATCCTGTGCCTCTGCAGATTTCTGAAAGAGGTTTTTATGCTCCACTGAAGAGGAGGACGGAGTGTGGCTCAGTGGCAGAGTGTATACCTAGCTGCAAGAGGTTCTGGGTTCAGTTCCCAGCACCGCAAAAAAAAAAAAAAAAAAAAGGAAAGACAAAGAGGCCGGAGCCCCCAGGTCTGCTCACCAGAGCTGGAGCCGACTCCTGGCCCTGGCCGTGACTCCTGGCCCTGGTCTACCGTTTACCACAGCCGTGCAGCTTGTAGGGGCTACCAGAGTGAGGGCAACGTCTTTCACTGGTAAGTTTAGGTATCATTTGAGAAGCTATCCTCAGTAGAGAAATTTTGGGTTTGAGAGACATCTCTCAGGGGACGGAGATTTTATTTATTTTTAATCATGTCTGTTCATGACACTTTCTTTTCTTTTTTTTTTGTTCATGACACTTTCAACTTCAAAGTTGTGCCCTTGTCTGATTTCTATATTAAAAACAAAAAACAATCACCTGTCATAGGAGTTCAGAGTAGATAAAGAGTTGTTATTCTAAGAAAATAGACTACTAAAGGAGAAAGTTAATGTTAAAAATAGGCAAAGTAATGCTTTTCATAGCACGTATAGGAAGATTTGCCCAACAGAATTTTTTTTTAATAAAAATTACTTACCTTTAGTATGTGTATATATTCAAAGTACAGAATAAAAGCACTAGTTACTAAATTTGTGAAACTATGTGATTAAATCCCCTAAACTGTTTGGGGGAGGGCTTTTTGTAAGTGTCCGATTACAGATTTCATGCCAAGTCATCTTTAAAATTTAAGGCGTTTGGCTGCTCCTGGGAAGTGGGCTGGACTGTGGGCTGAATCCCTGTAATTCCACTCCGGTTTTCGAGGTGTAATAAGTGGGGCTACAACATCACCATCCTATCAGGAAGAGAGAACTGGAATTAAAGAAAATCCAAAGCCTGGTGTAGTGGGGTACACTTGTAATCCCAGTGGCTCAGAAGGCTGAGGCAGGAGAATCGCAAATTCAAAGCCAGCCCCAGCAACTTACCAAGGACCTAAGCAACTTAGTGACAACCTGTCTCAAAATAAAAACACAAATAGGACTGGGGATATGGCTCAGTGGTTAAGGGCCCCGAGTTCAATCCCTGGCACTAAATAGGGCTGGGGACATAGCTCAGTGATGAAGAGGGGAACGAAGGAAGGAAGGAAAGAAAGAAAAGCCAGTTTCCATCATTTCATTTCTGAATCTTAGGCATACATATGTCCTTAATGTCCTTGGCTTGCAGGTAGATTGCTTCTGGATATACTTTCTCTTKGGAAATTCCAAATTATATATGCCCTGTGCTTGGTCAACTTGAAACACTACAGTCCTAAGCAGATAAGGGCCTTCATGGAAAAAAGCCACCAGACCTCTTTTCAATGGACTCAAAGACCCACTTCTTTGAAATCTCTAGCCTATGGTCTTCAAGGCCACCTATCTCTCCTCTAATCTTATCATACAAACCCTAGACAACAGACCGGTAGGCAACCCTTCTCTTGGGGATCCCTCCTGCTGCAGGACCTCTGTTTTCTTTCTATTACTTTAATAAATTCTGTTTCTTTGCTTTCATCTTTCGTGTTCATGGATCTCATTCTTTGAATTTGTGACACAAAGAACCACAGTGACCCTTGCATCTCACTACCAATTACATTCAATCAGTCAACATACACGGAGTGGCCACTCTCTGTGCTGGTCGCCTCCTCCATGTCAGTCAATTTTAACAACATTCTCTATAGGGTTGGCAACTGTACCTTGGTTCTTCCATCTCTCTATTCTCATTCTAGAAAATATAAAAAGTTTATTGGCATACCAAATTAACCACGTTGGGAATCCTGAGCTTGAAATAGCAAGTTAAAAAACTTGTTATTGAGCAAGGGGTAGAGCTTAGAAATAGAATTCTTGCCAAGTACACTTGA